GCATAAGTATATATATATATATGGTCACGACGGGACTAGACCGCACGTATTGAGCATGCGTATGTCTACTATCAATATCTGTCGTTCTCTTCTTTCCCTGCTCTCTTCGACGATCGCTCTCACGTCTCTCTCTCTCTCTCTCTATCTCTCTCTATCTCTCTCTCTCCATCTCCCTCTCTCTTACCCCGCCAACCTCGCCCTCCCCTTCACATCGCCCTCCCTCCTCTTTCTTTGTTTCTCGCTCTTTCTCTCCTGCGCTATGATTCCTCCTGTTAGCTATGCCCTTCTCCATTCATGACTTGCCCTCTCAGCTCCGACTCCGGCCCCCATCGCCCTTCTACTGCCCGTTCTTCTCTTGCATCTTATTTGATGCGCCGCTACGCCCGCCTCGTTATCAATAGTTGCAGTCGCCATCTTCCTTCTCGTCGTTCCCTTCCCTGTCTTGCGTAGCCAGGGCCGTCTCCCTCCTCCTACTCCCTCCGTGCTCTGTCTCTTCCAGCCGCGACGCTGTCTCATTCCTCCTCACTCCGGGCCCGGGCTCTTCCGTTGAACTTCTCCTTCCCCTTGCCCCTTGCCCTGCCCCTGCGCATGCGGCCCCAGGCGAAGTACAACGCCGCGAAAGAAACCCACGAGCTCTTCCACAAGCCCGCGAAGGCACGCGGCGGGGATGAGGGGGGCAGGGAGAGGAGGGGGCGCAGGCGACGAGGACGAGGAGGAGTAGGAGGGAGGTGACGAGGGGGAAAGGGGAGCGGATACGGAGACGAGGGTGAGAGGACGAGGACTAGAAGGAGGGGGGTGAGGAGGAAAATGAGGACGAGGAGAACGGGGCACGCGGCGCCCGCCGCAGGATGAGGATGATGATGAGGAGGAAAATGAGGATGAGGATGCGGATGTTGGCCCAACCCCATCCAGCCAGAGGTCAGCGTCTCCTCCGCGAGCGGCCAGAAGCTCACGTGCCTGGGAGGGGCGCCTCCGTTTCTCTGAACCTTCTTGCCCGTGGGGCTCCAGCAGACTCCTCCCCCCGTCATCAATCGCTATCTTTCCTTTCCGTTCCTCCCCCCCCGTCACCCCTCTCCTCTCCTCCACTGCCGCCTTCTTCGTCCTCCACAATCCTTCGCCCTCGCCCGCCCCGACCGCCCTGCTTTGGGGAGGGCGCCCGCGGGCGGGGCGGCACGCGGGGCAGACCCCACGGGGGATTGAGAGGATGGAGGCGGGGACGAGGAGGTCGAGGAGAAGGTAGGTGATCATAAGGATGAGGAGCGGATGGGGCTTTCGAGAGAAGAGGTTCGGGGGGCGATGAGGGCGCATTGGGAGAGCAAGGGGCAGGTACTGGTACGGCCTCCCCTGGGCGCGCGAGATTCAGGACGACTTCAGCAGCGATCAGGAGCTTGTGTTCCGCCTCAGAAACGATTGGGACGATTTCGAACTCGAGAAAGAGGAGAAAGAAAAGTGGGGGGTGGGCAGGGAAGTTGCGACAGTTGCGATGTGCACTTGTGCCCCTAATCGTACTTCCGAGCTCTGCCTCCCGCCTCTCACCGACCACTTTCTCGCCCCCCTCTTCCCTCTTGTTCATTTTGCATGCCCCTTTCCGTTTGAGCCAACTCCTCGCTCCTTCCCTCCCCCATCCCTGCCCCCCCCCAATCCTCCGCGCGGGAGGGAGGCAGACCGCTGGCTGGATCTACAGCTGAGCGAGCCCCCCGCCGCCGTCGGGCGGCGACGACGAGGAAGGAGAGGAGGGGGAGGAGGAGGAGGAGGAGAAGGAGCCGGAGGATGAGGAGGTGCTCACTGCTGATGCTACTTCTGCTGAGGGGGCGGCCGCGGCTGGCGGCGCCCCCGGAGACATCGCCGCGGCGAGCCGCGCGCCCCAGGGCCGCCGCTCGCCGCTCTCCAGGAAAATGGCAGCAGCGCGCGGGGAGGAAGCAGGAGGGGATGAGCGCGGGAGAGAAGGGCGGAGGTGGGCGGACGGGCGGGAGGGTAGTAAGGCGAGAGGGTCAGAGAAAAGGGGGAAAGGGAGGTAGGAGAGGAACAGGGTTGAGTAGCGAGGGTGTAGGACAGGGTTGAGTAGCGAGGGGGAGGAGGGCGGGTGGGACATGGGGAACCTCGGCACGCCCATCCAACGCACAGGCGCCCACGAGGTGCCCACAGGCGGACGCCAGGCGAAACCTCGGCCCACCTATTCAATCCCTTGGTGGCAAAAGTAAGAGCCCATAAGTGCAAGCAATGTTTGGGGAATGCAAGCAGAAATAAAATGAGGGTTTCTATGGTCTATTAGCTCTATCGGGCTAAAGCCAATTAGGTCTATTAGATCTACTAGGTCTAATAGGCTTATTCAGTCTATTGGGTATATTAGGTCAATGGGGCTATGGGCCTGTGGGGCTATGGGGCCATGGGACTATGGGGCTATGGGGCGATGTAGTGGCTATGGCGCTAGGGGGCTACGTGGCTATGGGGCGATGGAGCTGTAGGCCCCATAGCCATATAACCTTATAGCCCTATAGTCCAATAGCTCCATCGCCCTATAGCCCTAAAGCCCCATAGCCACATAGCCCCATAGCCCCATGGCCCCATAGCCTTATAGCCTATAAGGTTATGGGGCCACGGGGCTCTGGGGCGATGGGGCGCTATAGGGTTTGGGGCTATAGGGCTATAGGGCTATAGGGCTATAGGGCGACGGGGCTGGGCTATAGAACTATAGGGCTATGGGGCTATAGGGCCAAAGGCCATAAGGCCATAGGGCTATGGGCAATAGGAATAGGGCTATAGGGCAGGGCTATGGGGCTATGGGGCTATAGGGCTATAGGGCTATGGGGCTATAGGGCTATAGGGCCAGAGGCCATGCGGCCATAGGGCTATAGGTCTATAGGGCTATCGGGCTAGGGCTGTAGGGCTAGAGGGCTAGAGGGTTATGGGGCTATAGAGCTATAGGGCTATATCTTCCTCCATCCCCATATCGTCCCCCATCACCCCATCCACCCTCTTTTCATCAAGGCATCGTCTCCTTCCAACCTCCGCCCTCCTTATCCCCCAGCCGCCAAATCTACATGGTTATCGAGGCAGATTTCCAATGGTTGCAACGTACTCAGTGTCCCAATGGTGTCCCGATGGTGTCCACATGGTGTCCCGATTGTGTCCACATGGTGTCCCGATGGTGTCCCGCTGGTGTCCCGATGGTGCCCGTTGTGTCCCGTGGTGTCCCGCGGTGTCCCGATGGTGTTCCGATGGTGTCGTTGGTGTCCCGACGGCGTCCCGATGGTGCCCCGATGGTGTCCCGATGGTGTCCCGATTGTGTCCACATGGTGCCCCGATGGTGTCCACATGGTGTCCCGATGGTGTCTAGACGGTGTCCCGCTGTTGTCTCGATGGTGTCCCGATGGTGTCTCGATGGTGTCCCGATGGTGCCCGCATGGTGTCCACATGGTGTCCACATGGTGTTCTGATGATGTCCCGATGGTGTCCACATGCTGGGACGGACGAATATGTAGGATCGGGAAAGGGGGGGTTACGAAACCTGCTGTATGCAGCTGGTGTCCGCCCCGGCGCCCATCCCATTCCAGGCGCTTCCAGGCGCCCAGGCGCCAGGAGGCGCAAGGAAAGCCAGCTACGTGACCTGATTCTCTACCCTACCTGTTACTATCCTGTCCTTTCGTTCCCCGCGAACACGGTGTCCACATTGTGTCCATATGGTCTCCCAGTGGTGTCCCGATAATTGTCCACATGGTGTCCCGATTGTGTCCCGATGGTGTCCAGATGTTGTCCCAGAGGTGCCCTGACGGTGTCCGGAAGGTGTCCCGATGATGTTCCGATGGTATTCCGATGTTGTCCCGATGGTGCCTCGATGGTGTCCACATGGTGTCCACATGGTGTCCACATGGTGTCCCGATGGTGCACCGATGGTGTCCACATGGTGTCCCGATGGTGCCCCGATAGTGTTCTGATAGTGTCCCGCTGGTGTCTCGATGGCGTTACAACGTTGTCCACATGGCGTCCCAGTGATGTTCACATGGTGACTCGATGGTGTGCACAAGGTGTCCTGATGGTGTCCACATGTTGCCCGATGGTGCCCAATGCTATCCACATGGTGTCTAGATGGTGTCCCGATGGATGTCCCGATGGTGTCCACATGGTGTCCCGATGGTGTCCACATGGTGTCCCGATGGTGTATGTCCACATGGCGTACCGATGGTGTCGACATGGCTCCCTGATGGTGTCCCGAGGGTGTCCTGATGCTGCCCCAGTGGTGTCCCAATGGTGTCCCGATGGTTTCCCGATGGTGCCCAGATGTTGTCCCGATGATGTCCACATGGTGTCCCGCGGTGTCCCGATGATGTTCCAATGGTGTCTTGGTGGTGTCCCGACGGTGTCCCGATGGTGTCCCGATGGTGTCCCGATGGTGCCCCAGTGGTGTCCCAATGGTGTCCCGATGGTGCCCCGATGATGTCCCGATGGTGTTCCGATGTTGTCCCGATGATGTCCCGATGACGTACACATGGTGTCCATCATGCATCGTAACCAGGATCGTCATATGCATCGTCACCTGCTCGCGAGCGCATCACCAGCATCGTCACCATCACAATCATCGCAGTTGTCATCAGTTGGTTACTTGCCCCCCACAACCTCCTTATCACCTGAAGGGTGGTCGTGTATGGCCAAACGTGGGGCGAGGTTTTGCCAAGCTATTTGTCTGCGCGTTCCCCCAGTCGCTGTGGAAACCCTTTGGGGGACACTTGTGGGAGGAACAGGGAGGAGGAGGAGGCGGAGGAGGAGGAGGCAGAGGAGGAGGAGGAGGAGGAGGAGGAGGAGGAGGAGGAGGAGGAGGAGGAGGCGGAGGAGTCTCCTTGAGGGCCTCTCGGGGCCTCTTGGGGGCCTCTTGGGGCTTCTTGCGGCCCCAAGAGCGCACCCTCCTCCAATGCCTCTCGTCCTCGTCGTTGTCGTCGGTCATTTCCTCACCTTGCCGCTGGGCTCCTTCGCGTTGTAAAGAGTGTAGTCGGTGGTCTCCCGAGGCAGCTCGGCACCGCCGTTGAGCTCACTGCAGACGCGGTTCTTCGGGCGCTCGACGCCCCGCTGCAGCGCGGTCACGAGGATCGGAGCAGGGCCAGTCGAGACAGCTGCGGGCCTCCCTGGCGTTCCTTGCCCTTCTCAGGCCTCCGAGAGGCTTCTCGTCACCACTGCTGGATCCGCTTCGAAGATCGATGTCGGGGTGGACCGCCCGCGCGAAGGGTCCCAGGGGCCGATTCGTGGTGGTCGGTGTGTGCAGCACCCTATCTCGGATCTTGGAGGTGAGCGACGGAGGGAAGTGAGAAGGAGAGGGCCCTCTCAGAAGGCGGTGGGGCTTCTCAGAAGTCCTCCGGCCTTCTGAGAGGCTTTCTGTGTCTTCGGGGAAGGCCTAGAGGACGTGTGAGAAGGCCGGGGGACTTCCGAGCCTTCGGAGAAGGGCTCCCCCCTCTCTTTTCCCCCCCTCGCTCGCCGCCGACTGGCTCTGGAGCAGAAGCGCAACAACAGTCGCCCGTCTCACCCCATTTCCGAGGACGGATTCTAAGCGGATCCGTTCCGAGCGGGCGAGCTCCGCCGTGGTCTCGAGCTGGCTGCTCTCCCCCCCCTCGGAGAGGACGGCCACTGGGTCGCAGAGGTGGACGTCGCCTGGGGCCGGCGAGGCAAGCTGTGAGGGGCGCCTTTGAGGCAGCTCCCCGCCGTCGTGCCACGACCTCTCGGGCGTGGCTTGCCGGGCGCGCGGCGCTTCGCCGCGGCGCCGGCACGAGGGCGGCCACCGGAGGCGCAGAGGTGGTCGTCGGCTGGGCTCGGCGGGCCTCGGGCGACATCTGTTATTTTTGGAAATAAGGGGTGGTCCCAGAGGTCTTGTGCGAGGTCTCGTGCGAGGTCTGGTGCGGGATGTCTTGTGCGGTCTTGTGTGGTCTCTTGTGCTGGGCTCTGGGCGTCGATTCGCGGTCTCTTGCTTCGTCCTCCTGCACAGGTCGTTTTGTGCGCGGCTTGTGTGCGACCTCTCTTCGCTCGACCATTGTTCTTTACAAAACATGGTATGCCTCCCAGATGGGGTCAAAGCTGAATGGGGTCGGAGGATACCGCCGCATGGCCGATTCATCCGCGATGCGGCTCGATGTAGGGCCCGATTTTCGCCCCGCCGACTTCGCCGATGCATCGACGACGCAGCGCGAGAGGCCTCTACGACGAGAACCAGTGAGAACCAAACACATGTACCGCTCCTGGCCACGCTACTCCTGGGCCCAGGATGCTGCCCACCTGATGCAATGGTGATCGTCATACCCGCACCCAGCTATTCGCCAGCGCGGCAGAACAGCCGCCGCAGCTCTTATTCGGTCCACGGGACGGGCTGACAAAGAACCGCGGACCAGGCAAGGGACAGAGTCGGGCATGAGAGCGAGGAGCCGATGAGCGAGAGAGCGAGGGGAAGAGGGAGGGAGGACGACGGGAACGGACAGACCGGGCCGACAGACGGAAGGCGGGGAGGCGGGGAGGGGGGGGGGCAGCTTTCCATCCCGAGCCTTTTTTGACCGTCCCGGGGCCCTGCACGGGCGCCCAGATGCTAGGAGCGACGCGAGGAGACCTGGCGCTCGAGCCGCTGGCGGCCGTTCGTGACGGTCTGGGCAGCCCCGGAACGCGCTCGGCGAGGCGCGGCCGCCGGCAAGGCCGGGGACCCGCGGAAACCTGCGAAATTAATTCTCTGGGCCACAACGCGCGTGATGCTCCCGCCTCCCCCCCCCCATGGCGTACCGCCCCCCCCCTCCGCCTCTTGTAGTGCGCCTCTGGCACTGCCATGGTGATGTTCGCAGGCTTCTGTGGTGCTTGCAGGCTACTTCAACGTTCGCGTGTTAGCGTGGCGTTGATGGGCTCATTGCCAGTGCTCGCAGATCTGGTGCTGCGATCGCAGGCTATTGTCGCACATGCAGGGTCTGGCAATTTTTGCGCACGCGCGGGGGGTTCACGCGGTATTCTGGTGCTGGCAGGGCCGCGAGAGTTGTGGTAGTGGTAGTGGTGTTGTTGGCAGTGGCAACAGTCGTAGCAGTAACAGTGGTGTCGTCGTAATCGTCGTCGTCGTCGTCGTCGTCGTCGTCGTCGTCGTCGTCGTCTTGTGATCGTGGTGATCGTTGTTGTGATTGTCGTAATCGTCGTGGTCGTCATTGCAATCGTCGTGGTCGTCGTATTCGTCTTGATCGTAGTAATAGTCGTCGTCGGCGTGTGGTTGCGTTGTGACCCTCCGTCGTGGCAGTCGTAGTCGTCATAGTCTTCGTAATCCTCGCGATCGTCGTCATAGTATCTATGATTGTCGTCGCGGTGCTCGCAAGTTACCAGGGTGCCGACAGAAGTGTAGTCGTGTTCTCGCAGCTGTTCCCCCGTATCGTGCGTGCTTGCAGGTACCATTGTTGCCCGCTTCTTACTTCAGGCCAAGGAGCGCCCAGACCCCTCTCAGAACCCATTTCTACGGCAGAAGTGTAATCAACGAGGGGTTGTGGTGTACGCAAGCTCTGTGGTGCACGCAGTCTTTGCAGTGTGCGCAGGCGCTGCGGTGAACGCGACTGATGTGGTGCACTCAGGCGCCGTGGGCGCATGCGTGCAACATGCTTCGGGACATGCAGTGCAGTTCAGGTTTCAAACGTTTCTGGCGTTACGTAGATGCAGAGTAATGTAGCAATACTTGCAATGCTAAGTAGATGCAGCACAGTGGCAGCAAGCACCCGCTTAGAAAACTACTCGAAGGAGGATGTGAAATAATGGAAAACTCACTGGTGCGCGTATGCGTTGCGCAGTACATTTGCGATATGGTGCATGCGGCTGCCGCGGTCATATTGCACTGCGCATTGTGGAGCGTGTTGTGATGCGCACAGGCGCTGTGGTACCAGAGCCACACGGCGGGGGGGCGGGGGGCGGTCCGTTATGCCCCCCAGAACCTCTTACCTCTTCATAGGTCCCTACAATCATGTATTTTCATAGCGGGAGGTGCCCCATGAAAAGACAATCGTCTGAGAATCCCGAATCGCGCCGCGACACCATACCCGGGACTTCAACGTCGCGAATCAACGTATTTGGTGCGTGCGTCCTGGCAGTCCTCAGTCGTACTGAAACTCCATTCCTGAGACCCTATGAATCCCTGGAATTACTGCACGTTTAATGACGAGTGTGCGCGGTGCCAAGGCGAGGGTGACATGTTGAAAAGAAGGGGCCCTCCATCCTTGAAGGTGTTGCAAAAAGGCGAAGGTGTGCGGTGCTGACGCGAGAGCCACATTTTGGAAACCGCTCGCGCTCCATCCTTGAATCAGTTGCAGTCTTTGGAGACGAAGGTTCCCGGCGCCAAGGCGAGAGCCCTATTTTGAAAACCGCCCGCCCTCCATCCATGAAATTGTGGCACATGTCAAGCCTCAGGATCATAAGCGGTGAGGATTTTTCAGGCGACGCGCCCAACTCGCCTTACCGATACGTCTGGACAAGGAGGAGTTGTTTACAAAGAAGGGGATGACGGAGGAGGAGGAGGACGAGGAGGATGAGGAAGATGAGGAGGAGGAGGAGGACCAAGTGGAGGATTATGATGAGGGATGCTGCTGCTGATGATGATGATGATGATGATGATGATGGTGGTGGTGGTGATGATGATGATGATGAGGAGGAGGAGGAGGAGGAGGAGGAGGAGGAGGGGGAGGAGGAGAAGGAGGAGGAGGAGGAGGAGGAGAAGGAGGAGGAGGAGGAGGCCAGAGGAGCCCGGATCTGCGTGTACAGCGCGCGGGGGGGGCGGCCGGCCCGCGAGAGAGGCCTCCTCTACAGCATGCGCGGGCGCCTCCTGGGCTACGTGGCGCCCGCGGCGCGGATGCCAGCCGCGCCGCTGGCGGCGGAGCTCGGGAGGGGGCTGGGCAGGGTCGGGTCGGACGAAAGCCTGGAGGATCGAAACGGGCTACAGCAGGTTCGCGTACGGCAGGTTGCAGCATGCTGCAAATCCCTTGTGTTGTTGGACCCTGACGTCGCGATCTGCTTGAGGAGTGAGTGCGTCCGATTTTCCGAATCTGGAGGCTGTCCCGAGCGGAACGGCCAGGATCATCGAAATTCGGGCGGGTGGTAACTGGGGGACGGCCTAAACGGGGGGCGAAGAAAAGGGCCTCAAAGGGCCCTTGAGGGCATCTCTTGGGCCCCTGCCGGCTCCAAAAGGGGTCCCCAGAGGGTCCGCTTGGGGCCTCTTCTCTGCACCCGCCACTCGGGTCCCCCCGACCCCTCGGAGGAACGGGTGCGGCAGGCTCGCGTCGCGTCGGCCATCGGCGACGCTGCCGCCGGCGTTCAACGTGGAACGCCGACGGCGAGGAGCCGGCAGGGCGGCGACGTGCGCCGCCCTGGCGGCCCCGGTGCAGCACCTCCGCGCTCGGCGGGCCCGTGGTTCAGGGCGGGTACCCATGCTCGTCGAGGATGAAAGGGCCCCTGACCCAGATATCAGAGGGAAGACGTGGCCTCACGGAGGGCCCCGTCCTTGCATCAGGGGTGATAGCTCTGGGCGGTTTAGTCTGGAGGCCCCCTATCACTAATGCTTCTGGCCCTCCTAACTCAGGTCCCCTCCCAAAAGGTTAGGGGCCTTTTTTGGTTACTCACATACCGCTACCCTTTGACGTTTTACCCTTTTTCGCTCTTCTGGGAGGCTCTCGTCGCCACCGTTGGATCCACTTCGAAATCCTGGTCAGAACGCACCCCTGAAGAGGCCCAGGGAGCAGCGGTATGGGCACCTTTTGATTTCCCCAGTGCCCCCCGCCCCCCCCGAGCGGAGCGCCAGCGTGAGAGAGCCCGAGCGGCTCGGCCTCCTGCTGGCCGACGGTGTGCTGGGGCCTCCCAGGTGGGGTCGGAGCACAGTCGAGACCGACAGTAAGGATGGGTAGGCTTCCCAAGGGTGCCCTTACATCCTTTGCCTCTTCGGTCCATCCGTATCCACTCGATGGCCGCGCCCCGCTCGAAAGGTGTCGGCATGGCCTCTCAAGGCCCTTGCAGTCTTATCGTGCACCCACACTGTCAGTTTTGACCATGGGTGGGGTCGGAGGAGCGCGCCGCATCGACGATGCATCGACGATACGGCTCGGTGTGGAACTAGAGTTTCTCCACACCGATGGCGCCGATGCACCACCGATGCATCGCTGATGCTGCGCGATCCTCCGACACCATCTGCTCCGACCCCGTTCGGGAGGCCTCTGGTGACGAAGCCCGAGCGGCTCGACCTCCCGCTGGCCGACGGCAAGCCGCCGCGCCGGATCAGGCGGCCGAAGCTCGGAGACCGCGCTGCGGCTCCGGGGCGGAGCCCCCGATCGAAGATTCCAGGAAATTGGCCTTATTTGGCGGCGAGCGAGGGGGGAAGTGAGAAGGGGCGGGCCTTCTCAGAAGGCTCGGAAGTCCCCACGCCTTCTGAGAAGTTTCCCAAGCCTTCCCGAAAACAAATAAACCTTCTCAGAAGGCGCGAGGGCTTCTGATAAGTCCCGCCGCCTTCTGAGAAGGCCTTCTCCTTCTCACTTCACCCCCTCGGCCCTCGCTCGCCGCCGACTTACACTGGGGATGCGCAACAGGAACTCGTCAGGGCACCCTGGCTTTTTTTCGCTCATTGCGCTGCGCAGTGGCTTCCCACAGCCGCCGAAGGAGATGCTGCGTTCAGCGTGCTTAGGATTCCCCCCACTTTTATCACGCTCTTGCGGGTCTTCAGGGCTCCGAATTGTAAGGGGGCCCTAACGGGCCTCGAAAGTGCCAACGCGGGCCCCAAAGGTGCACAGAAGGTTGCGTTTCTTCAGCTCACGTTTACTGTCCCGTCCCCCCCTGAACGAACTCCCAGGGCGTCCTGGTGCGCACCGACGTGGGCGGCGTTCTGCCTGCAGCGGGGCCATGGTGTCAGTGCTCCTCCCCTCCCGCAGTCAGTCAGGCCTGGGATCGGGGCAGGTCGCTCCACAGCGTTCCTGGAGCGCTCTCATGGCGGTCGGGACCGCTCTGGAACGGCCGGGGCGCGCGACCCTTCCCTTAGAACTGCCAGATCTCAGAGGTCCCCGATCTATCCCGATCTGGTTTTGTTCCGCTCTCGGCTTCGTCTTACTCAGAGGGCGGCATGACCGACCCCTGGCAGAGTGGCCCCTTCCGTGACGACCCCCTCGCCTCGCTCCAAAACGTGGGCAGGCGGTCGGACGAGAGCCTTGATGGCGAGGGCTCTTCTGGGGACCGTCACGGAACGGGCTTTTCACCGAACGGGTCGCTAAGGCCGCGCCCGACTCTTTGCTCTTCGTCCCTTCACGTCTTCCCCTCCCCCTATGCCTCCCTCCCCTTATTCTCTCCCCTCCATCCTTCCCTCCCTTCTCGTCTTCGTGAAGTCCGACGCGA